AGCATTTCGTTGTGTTGGGAACATTCAATATCCTCTTTCTAGCTACTTGGAACTATATATTATTGTTAACTATAGTCAGGCCGGTTGCGGTGGGTCACACCTATAATCTCAGCACTTTGGAAGGCCAAGACAGGAGGACTGCTTGAGCCCAGGAGTTCGAGACCCGCCTGACCAACATAATGAGATCAGTCTCTACAAAAAAATCAAAACACTTGGCTGGGCATGGTGGCTCATGCCTGTAATCCTAGCACTTTGGGAGGCCTAGGTGGGAGGATCACTTGAGCTCAGGAGTTCAAGGCCAGCCTTGGCAACATAGTGAGATCCTGTCTCTTTATTTAAAAAAAAAAAAAAAAAATTGAAAAATAAAACAAAAAATTAGCCAGGCGTGGTGGCGTGCACCTATAGTTCCAGCTACATGGGAGACTGAGGCAGGAGTATCACTTGATTGCAGGGGGTTGAGGCTGCAGTGTACTCCAGACCCTGTCTCAAAAAAAAAAAAAAAAATCTATAGTCATCCTACAGTGGTATAGAACATTAGAACTTATTCCTCCTCCTATCTAGCTGTTTTTTTTTTTTTTTTAAAGACGGAGTCTCACTCTGTCGCCAGGCTGGAATGCAACAGCGCAATCTCGGCTCACTGCAACCTCTGCCTCCCAGGTTCAAATGATTCTCCTGCCTCAGCCTCCCAAGTAGCTGGGATTACAGGCGCCCGCCACCACGCCTGGCTAATTTGTTGTACTTTTAGTACAAATGAGGTTTCACCATGCTGGCCAGGATGGTCTCTATCTCTTGACCTCATGATCCACCTGCCTCGGCCTCCTAAAGTTCTGGGATTACAGGCGTGAGGCACCGTGCCCGGCCTATCTAGGTGTAATTTTATATCCTTTAACACATCTTTCCCTGTCCCTCCCTTCCTCTACCCTTCCCAGCCTCTGGTATCCTCTGTTCTACCTTTTCCTTCCATGAGATCAACTGGTTTTAGGTTCCATATATTAGTAAGAACATGTGGTGTTTAACTTTCTGTTCCTAGCCCAGTTCCATTCATGTTGCCACACGTGACAAGATTTCATTCTCAAGCCCCCAAAGACACCTCACTGGGCCTTTGTTTTTTTGTTTTGTTTTGGTTTTGTTTTGTTTTTGTTTTTGTTTTTTAAACCTCTGGGACAGATGGCTCCTTCTGAGGCAGCCCATCCCCCTGGTGGACAGTTCTCTCGAATCTTGACAGAAGTCCTCTGGACAACTCATGTCCTCTCCCTGGGCTCATCCTGCACTGCATGGAGCTGGGCAGCCTGGGGACCCTTAATGAACAGGACCTGGCGTGAGCTGACCTTGAAGCCTGGAGGTCAGAGCCCACGTCTGCCCACAGGTCAGGGCCAGCTCACATCATGTGGACCCTGGTCAGCCTCCCTGGGGTGGCCCTTGACAAGGCTGCAGGTCTCATCTTGCCCTCCAGGGGGAGACATTGCACACAGACAAAACTCAGGAAACAGATTCCCCTGGTCATGAGCCGGGCTTTGCTAAGGAGGCGAAGGTAGAGCCCACTTTCCATCCCTTGCTCCAAAACACCCTTCCTGGCCCTCCCATGTACCTGCTCTGTCCCTTCCTGGGTCCTCTGAGGACCCTGTTCTGTGAGGGGTCCCTGTGCAGCTCCCCATTCCCTCCTAGTACCACCCGTGGGGAAGGTGCGGTGACCACAAGACAATCAGCCTCGCAGAGGACAGAGACCACCCAGGATGGTCAGGGAGAACATGGACAGGCCCTGAGCCTCAGCTCAGCCAACAGACACAGAGAGGGAGGGTCCCCCTGAAGCCTTCCCCAAGGACAGTAGAGCCCAGAGCCACCCAGAGTCATCACAGTCCTCTCTTCCCAGGACCCACAGGACACCTCCCCCTCCATATCCAGGAGCTGCAGCTCCACCTGAGACCCCTGGGCCTGGGTCTCTGTCCCTGGGTCAGAGGCCAGGCTGGTGACACTAGAGACAGAAGGCTGGTCCCTCCCCAGTCATACCCCAGTGAGCCCCTTTCTATCCCCCAGAGCCACCTCTGTCACCTTCCTGCTGGGTGTCTTCCTACCTTCCCAGAGCGCTGGAGAGCATGGGGAAACCTGGAAGCTCACTGTGTTGCAAAGAAAATAATTACCACATTTGGATATGCCAGGGTTTTCTGTGTGCTGCTGACAGGCCCATAGCCAGGACACAATAGAGGTCAGTGCTGGAGATGGGGGATCCTCCTCCCCTGATGAGGACAGAGGTCCCGTCAGCCTTGATTCTCAAAGTGTGGTCTGGGAAACCAAAATGTAGACAGAAAGAAAAGAGAAAGTAAGGACAAAGGGGCAGGAACGAAGAAATAGAGCCTCCTGGGCAAACCCCGCCCCAGCACACATCATCAGACAAAGCTCCCGGCCCCAGGGAGGAGGCTCAGCAGAGAGGGTAGAAAACAGCAGAGCTGACAGTCACAGCAGCCCTGCGTGAAGCGTTCCTGGAGCCCAAGCTCTCCTCCACAGGTGAAGACAGGGCCAGTAGCAGACACCATGGGGCACCTCTCAACCCCACTTCACAGAGTGCGTGTCCCCTGGCAGGGGCTTCTGCTCACAGGTGAGGGGAAGACTCCCTGGGAAGGGGTGGAAGGAGGGTGCACAGAGAACGGCTAGGGTCCCCTGGGGAGGATGGGGCTCTGCAAGGCGAGAGAGGGCTTCTCTTGGAGCCAAATAGAAGAGAAGCCATGAAAGAGGGATAGAGATCATAAAAGGAAAGTCTGTGATCTGAAACTGTTAGTGAAGAAACGATCTCCCATTTTTTACCTTTTCCAAGTGAATCATCAATGAGCAATAAATTTCAAAAACGGATGACAATAATCACAATTTAAGTCAGTGTGACAATTAAGGAAAACATTTTAAAAGGGGCATTAAACAGAGCCCTGAGCCACCAACCTCAGATATTGGCAATAAACCCCAGGACGTGAAGGGCCCTGGCAATGCTCAGGAACTCATCCACAGGAGTCTGCAGCCTGTCCCAGGCACTGGGGTGCAGCCAACATCACACAAATCCCTGCCGTCACAGAGCTCACGCTCTCATGAGTGGGGAAGACAGACACGCAAAGAGATCTAGAATGTGAGGTCAGGGGTAGACAAGAGCCCTGGAGGGAACAGAGCAGAAAAAGGTCAGAAAGAGAAGACCCAGGGTCTCTAGGGGAGATGTCAGGGAAAGGATCTCCCAAGAACACCCTGATGTAAGCAGGATCTGAGGGCAGTGGGGAGGGAGCCATGCAGATCCCTGGGGAAGAGCATTCCAGGGAAATGACAAGGTCAGAGGCACTAAGGGAATGGGAGTCACACTGCTGTCCTTGACCCAGTAGGACAGACACACTCCAAGGTGGAGGGGTGAAGAGACCTGGTCAGGACCCGGGGCCCCGTTTTTCCACCCTAATGCATAGGTCCCAATATTGACCGATGCTCTCTCCTCTCTCCTAGCCTCACTTCTAACCTTCTGGAACCCACCTACCACTGCCCAGCTCACTATTGAATCCAGGCCGTTCAATGTCGCAGAGGGGAAGGAGGTTCTTCTACTCGCCCACAATCTGCCCCAGAATCTTATTGGCTACAACTGGCACAAAGGGGAAAGAGTGGATGCCAAACGTCTAATTGTAGCATATGTAATAGAAACTCAACAAACTACCCCAGGGCCCGCACACAGCGGTCGAGAGATGATATACTCCAATGCATCCCTGCTGATCCAGAACGTCACCCAGAATGACACAGGATCCTACACCCTACAAGTCATAAAGGGAGATCTTGTGAATGAAGAAGCAACTGGCCAGTTCCGGGTATATCGTGAGTGATTCCCCATGACCTCTGGGGTTAGTTCTACTTCACACACATGGGATTGTCAGGCCTGGGTTGTGCCTGTGTCCCCCTCTGCATTACACTCCACGTTAAGGTTTGAGCATTTAGTGCAGGACACACACTAAGGGATAGACACCAAAATATCAAATTTCTTACTCCAGAGTCCTGATTCTGCAGACACTTGCTTCAGAGGAAGGACAGTCTGATGTGGGTAACTTATCGAGGGGAGACCAGTCTCAGTGTAGCCCCCTGGAACCCTCCTGGTGAACATGTCCCTAAGAAAGACCCAGTAGGACTCAGTCAGGGTCTGGCCTGAGGGGCCTTCTGGGATCCTCACAGACAAGCTCAGCCCTGGGAATCCTCTGCTCCAACACACTATCCCAAGGTTCTCGACTCCTGGTGACCCTGAGAAGCCTGGGCCAGTGCTAGATTGTGGCCTCCTGGGCCAGGCTGACTGGGAACAAGAATTTGAGTTATCCAAGGGCTGTGGCTCCTAGAGCTGGTAACCAGCCAGGGTTCAGGCACTAGAGCCTCATTTGGGCAAGGACGGAGCCTCATCCTTCACCTTAGTCTCGGCCTGGAGAGGACAGATGCACAAGCTCCCCAGGCCATCAGCCAACTGCCCTGGGGGCTTAGGAGATGCCATAGGAAGTGCAGCATCCCCAGGAGGAGGAACAGAGGAGACAGGATGCTCCTGAAAGCTCCTTGTCCACCAGGGATCAGGCTGAGGGGCACTCTCACAGAATCCAACAATAATAGATGCTGTGACCGGGCGCAGTGGCTCATGCCTGTAATCCCAGCACTTTGGGAGGCCGAGGCAGACGGACTATGAGGTCAGGAGTTCAAGACCAGCCTGACCAACATGGTGAAACCCCATCTCTACTAAAAATACAAAAAAATTAGCCGGGCATGGTGGCGCGCGCCTGTAATCCCAGCTACTCAGGAGGCTGAGGCAGGAGAATCGCTTGAACCTGGAAGGCGGAGGTTGCAGTGAGCTGAGATCACACCACTGCACCCTAGCCTGGGTGACAGATCGAGACTCTGTCTCAAAAAAAAAAAAAAAAAAAAAGATTGTTTATTTGGGCAGCTCCCCTATGCCGAGCTGAGGTCAAATAATTACAAATATTTTAACGTTAATTCACAGACACAAGACAAGCCAAAACCTTTAACCATTTATACTGTTTTTCTGAGGTCTGAGGGGAAACTGAGCCACGTGGCAATAAATACAGTCACTGTATCAAGGTCACACAGACCATAACTGGCAAATCAGTTACAGGAGATGTGTCTTCAACCACAGCCTCAACTTCTCCTCTACTCCAGGGGCCGTATTTGGCATCTGTGGACCCCAATACCAGAGTTGGTTCAGTTCCTTTCTTCTTAGGCATCTGCAGCCCAGAGGGGAGATCCTGGTCTGGGGAGTGAGATCAAATGGAGAATTAACCAAGTTTTATTCTGGAACTTATTCAACAATTAGAGTCAGTGTCGGAAATGTCCAGGCCTGGGCCAGGCGTGGGGGCTCACACCTGTAATCCCAGCACTTTGGGATGCCAAGATGGGCAGATCACTTGAGGTCAGGAGTTCAAGACCAGCCTGGCCAACATGGTGAAACCCCATCTCTACTAAAAATACAAAAAAATACTAGCCGGGCGTGGTGGTGCGTGCCTGTAATCCCAGTTACTTGGGAGGCTAAGGTGGGAGAATCGCGTGAACCCAGGAGGCAGAGGTTGCAGTGAGCCAAGATCGTGCCACTGTGCTCCAGCCTGGGAGACAGAGCAAGACTCTATCTTTTTTTTTTTTTTTGAGACAGAATCTCGCTCTGTCACCCGGGCTGGAGTGTAGTGGTGCAACCTCAGCTCACTGCAAGCTCCGCCTCCCAGGTTCACACCATTCTCCTACCTCAACCTCTGGAGTAGCTGGGACTACAGGCGCGGGCCACCGCGCCCGCCTAATATTTTTGTATTTTATTAGTAAAGACAGGGTTTCACTGTGTTAGCCAGGATGGTCTGGATCTCCTGACCTCGTGATTCACCCACCTCAGCCTCCCAAAGTGCTGGGATTACAGGTGTCAGCCACCGTGCCCAGCCAAGACTCTATCTCAAAAAAAAAAAAAAAAAAAAAAGTTCAGGCCTATCCCCTCAGACCCACGCCTCTGCTCCCTGGACTTGAAATCCTGTGTTTCCTGATGTGTTGGTGTCACTCCCACAGGAGGATAAAGGAAAGGACTTTGCTTTCTCTCCCCACTCACACCCTGCACCAGCCAGGGCCCAACAAGAAATACACACTCGCTCAGTAGTTCTCTCATGAATGAATGAATGATTGAATGATCCATAACCTCTTTAGAAACTGGATCTGGTTGCAGAATCCTGGGAGGTTCTTGCCATGCCTGCTCCCCATCCTTCCAGGGACTGAGACCCATGTTCCATCCCCTGACCATCTGCCCCTAAAGCCACCCCAAGTACCACATTTCATGTGACTCTCTGGGGCTGCTCGGCTGTGGGAAGGTTTTCAGGGCTCCCTGGTCTTGATTCTGGGACACCAGAGGCTCCTGGTTGCTGGGGTCTCTGAGGTCACTGTAGCCCCCACTGCTCACTATCATGGGCATCTCTGACTCTCTCTCTCTGCTCCTCCATGTCCTCATTTTCCTCTTCTTTTATCCCAGCTGAACTGCACCATTTCCTCCAACCTTAGGCCTTTCCCAGACACTCCCTCTTACAAGGCTGACTGTCCTGTTCCCTTCCTGCTCACACTGTGGCCAGGCCCACCTCCCAGGCAGTAGGAAAGGCACAGAAAACAACCCGGAGCAGCCGTCCCTGCCAGGTCCATCACAAGCCACTGTCCCCAGCTCACCAGGAGAACGAGCTTCCACTGTGTTCCCATCCAGGGCTCTTTCCCTCAGTGAGGCCAACATGAGTCCCAGAACAGGCCACAGGACAGGGACGAGCGACTCCTCCGTGCACTCTCTACACTGACTCACCAGGGGATCAGAGGCAGAAGGACAGGTCTGCAGTCCCCAAAGCCCATGGGCTCATTTCACCCATTTGACTCCCAACTCCATCCCTGTCCTGCTGTGGGCTCACATCCTCTACTGGTTCCTGGGACCTTCCCCAGGTGGAGCTGTCCAGGCAGGTGCTGTCTGATGGGTTTGCTGCCCATTCCATATACATCTGTGTCCTCATGATGACACCATTGTCATAAGGTGGGATCTCTCGGACAGGCAGATGCATTAGCCACTAGTGTCTCACTTAGACTCTGCCCAATTTGGATGAATTTGGTCAAACTCTAGTTGTGTTTCCTGAGGTTGAGAGAAAAGGAAGAAAGTATTTCACACGACTGTTTTGGGTTCCTCTTCTTTTTACCTGAATTTCCACAGGAATTTGTAACATAGAACTCTTTCTAAATTTACTAACATAACATACATCACTTCTCCTCATATGGCATCGTTTCTCTCTTAATGCAATTGAGAACCCTCAGATATCCTTTCTGACAAGTTCTGTCTTCCTAACAGGACCCAGGAGTTCCTTCTACCCAGGGAGTCACTGATTTCAAACTGACTTCAGCATCTTTCTTTGATCATAACATGATCCTATCAGACTTCAGAGCTTGGTTTAAGAGTTTATCATGCTCTCTAGAGAAATATTCCTCTTAGTAGTTGGTGTTAGATCCAGAGTATTAATAACAATTTTCACAAATGGAATAATCTAACTTCTCAAATTTATATCCCAGATCTACCAAACACACACAGTCCATGAGGGTCAGATTTTCAGCAAGTTCATGCTCCTTCCATTCCACTAGTCAGTTATTCTGCATTTGCAAAAAACCCACATATTTCAGAAAAGATCCACAGTGCTGTCACCTGCCCTTTTCAGGGGAAGAAGGGACATTAAAAACCAAAGTCAAGGAACATAGTTATGCTGTTAAATCCAGGCAGCTCCTGCCTGTCACCCTCACTCTTTTCTAGATCATTCCTTGGACTCTGCTCTATCTTTAGGAGTCACTGGCTCAAGTCAGTCATCATTAAACACCTGGGAAAAACTGCCCCACCTTGTGGTTCCACTGCCTGACGACTAAGCTGACCTTCAGGCTTGCCCCTGGTGTTCCCTGTGTTATTTCTGCTGAAACATAGAGTCCCAGGCCAGGCTGCACAGTATCCTCAGGGTTTAAGGACAATGGGAAGTCCCATCATTACCCATCTCTAGGATGTCCTTAGACAGGGAAGCTGCAGAGAAAACACACCTAGTGGGGCAAAGTAGGACTGTGAAGCTGGAAGGGAGCCAGCACCTGCACGTTCCAGGTGAGGACCCACAGGTGGGCCAGGCAGTCGTCAGCCAGTCAGGGAAAGACCAGAAGTGGTGGGGGCTATGAGTCCCAGTCCTGGGTCTGTCCACGACCCAACACTGCTGCTCAGTTCACACTTGAGAAAGTCTGTACCTCTCTCACACAAAGCAGGCGGCCTCATAGTCTCTGAGCCCTCAGATCATCGTGCATCTGTCTTGTGAAACACACACTTGCCAGGCTTTTAAAGACTCAGGTTGGCTGAGAGGTGGGGAGATGCCAACTCTGAAAAATGCCTGGCCGGAATCCCAGCACTTTGGGAGGCCGAGGCAGGCAGATCACGAGGTCAGGAGATCGAGACCATCCTGGCTAACGGTGAAACCCCATCTCTATCAAAAATACAAAAAATTAGCCGGGCATGGTGGCACACACCTGTAGACCCAGTTACTCAGGAGGCTGAGGCAGGAGAATCACTTGAACCCAGGAGGAAGAGGTTGCAGTGAGCCAAGATCGTGCCACTGTACCCCAGCCTCAGCAGCAAAGCGAGACTCTGCCTCAAAAAAAAAAGAAAGAAAGAAAAATGCCCAGCCAGGCACGGTGGCTCACACTTGTAATCCCAGCGCTTTGGGAGGCCGAGTCAGGCGGATTGCCAGAGCTCAGGAGTTCGAGACCAGTCTGGGCAACACAGTGAAAGCCCGTTGGGCATGGTGGCATGTGCCTGTAATCCCAGTTACTTGGGAGGCTGAGGCAGGAGAATTGCTTGAACCCAGGAGGTGGAGGTTGCACTGAGCCGAGATCACACCACTGCACTCCAGCCTGGGCAACAGAGCAAGGCTCCATCTCCAAAAAAAAAAAAAGAGAGAAAAGAAAAATGCCTGTGGAGGAATCAAAGGTGCCACACAGGGCAATCTTCTCTCTGTTATCTGTACAGCGGAGCTGCCCAAGCCCAACATCACCATCAACAACTCCAACCCCGTGGAGGACAAGGATGCTGTGACCTTCACCTGTGAATCTGAGGCTCAGGACACAACCTACCTGTGGTGGGTAAACAATCAGAGCCTCCCGGTCAGTTCCAGGCTACAGCTCTCCAATGGCAATAAGACCCTCACTCTACTCAGTGTCTTAAGGAATGACACAGGACCCTATGAGTGTGAAATACAGAACCCAGTGAGTGCCAACTGCAGTGACCCAGTCACCTTGAATGTCACCTGTGAGTATTTTCTGTTCCTCTGTGGCCCAGGCCGCCAGCCCAAATCCACGCACCCAGAGGCCGGGCCTCTCAGTCCCTCTCAGGTCTAAGGACGCAGACCCTTAACTCTAGACACCCAGGCTGGCCATGACTTCCTGTCCCAAGCAAACCTGGGCAGTCCCAGCCTGGACCAAGAATAGGAGGGGAGGGGCTGCTCCTGTCCTGGGAGGCTCAGGGTCTGCAGCCTGTGATGGAAGAAACAGGTGAATGTCTCAGACCCAGACTCAGTGGACACAGCGGAGGTTTGGTTGGGACTTCAGGGTTGTGACTTGGTAGAGAGGAACACTGTGGCCCTTCTCCAGACCAGGAGCTTCCCCTTCCCTCTGATGACATCACCTGTGGCTTTATTTTATTTGCTCCAGATGGCCCGGATACCCCCACCATTTCCCCTTCAGACACCTATTACCGTCCAGGGGCAAACCTCAGCCTCTCCTGCTCTGCGGCCTCTAACCCACCTGCACAATATTCCTGGCTTATTAATGGAACATTCCAGCAAAGCACACAAGAGCTGTTTATCCCCAACATCACTGTGAATAATAGTGGATCCTATACCTGCCACGCCAATAACTCAGTCACTGGCCGCAACAGGACCACAGTCAAGATGATCATAGTCTCTGGTAAGTAATCCCCGGGGCATCGACACTAAGCTCTGGGGTACAAGCTCTCTGGTTTTCAAATAGGAGCGGAGAAGAAATTTTCTTTTCCAGCCTGTATCCAAAGGGCAAAACAAGTCCAAATTCTCCCCTGAACCCTCTCAATTCATCTATGCCGACTCTCTTCCCTTTGTTTTTCTGATTTCTCACAGCTGAACTTAGGTCCAGCCTGGAATGTGGGGAGGGGGTTCTCTCAGTCCCAGAAAGCCCCATGTAGCAGGAGGGGCTCCACAGACGGGAAAGCAGAAAGGGTCCTCAAGGTCAAGTTGCTTCTGTCACTGACATGTCCCTCTCTGTAACTTCTTGGCCTTCTTTTACCTACTCCATGAGACATAAGGAATATGTGAGGTTTTAAAACAGGTTCACATTAGTTTTCCCTAAATGAGAGAAGGAAATGCCCTTCATCAGCGATGAGCAGCTCAGACTTTGCTCCCTGCTCTACTCCCAGCTTGCCCGGTGATTGGCTCTGCCCTGACTCCATGTGGGGTAGGACGCAGGTGTGTGGGGAAGGTGGCCAGGTGGCCTGTTGTGAATCCAGCTAAATCAAAATGGCAGTCAATGGCTGGGTGTGGTGGCTCATGCTTGCAATCCCAGCACTTCGGAAGGCCGAGTAGGAGGATCACCTGACATTAGGAGTTCGAGACCAGCCTGACCAACATGGCAAAACTCCATCTCTACTAAAAATATTTAAAAAAAAAAAAAATTAACCAGGCATGGTTGTACGTGCCTGTAATCCCAGTCACTAGGGAGGCTGAGGCACAAGAATCACTTCAACCTGGGAGGCAGAGGTTGCAGTGAGCCGAGATGGCGCCACTGCACTCCAGCCTGGACAACAGAGAGAGACTCTGTCTCAAAAAAAAAAAAGAAAAAAAAGGCTGGGCGCGGTGGCTCAAGCCTGTAATCCCAGCACTTTGGGAGGCCGAGACGGGCGGATCACCAGGTCAGGAGATCGAGACCATCCTGGTTAACAGGGTGAAACCCCGTCTCTACTAAAAAATACAAAAAAACTAGGCGGGCAAGTGGCGGGCGCCTGTAGTCCCAGCTACTCAGGAGGCTGAGGCAGGAGAATGGCGTGAACCCGGGAGGCGGAGCTTGCAGTGAGCTGAGATCTGGCCACTGCACTCCAGCCTGGGCGACAGAGCAAGACTCTGTCTCAAAAAAAAAAAAAAAAAAAAAAGCAGTCAACACCTGATCCTCTCCTGGGTCAGGCTGCCTCCCTGAGCTTGTCCTGGCTCTGAAGTCACCAGCTGTATAAGGCTGTGGGCACAGCACGTGGGATAGCACAGAACACAGCAAGTGACCCACACTTGGAGAAATCCAGAGATTCAGCCACAGGGGCTCTGCATTGGAGAGAATGGGCAATGCCAAACAGTGTGTATTTGTAGAGAAGGTAAGAATATCAGCCTTTTGTTAACACTGTGCCTACTCTCTAGGAATCTCCTTCACTGTGATATTCTATCCACAGACCAGGAAGTAAAACTCCTCTTTACAGTGAGAAATCCTTTGGATTGGAACTTCTCCAGATACTAAGGTCGTGAAGACTGGATGGGCCAACTTCATTCTCTAAAAAATTATTTAATGAAAAAACACACTACCTTCCCTTTTTATGTAAAGTGACAGTCACAGGAAGGAGGCCTGATCACAGAAAGCTCCAGGAAAGGGTCACACAAAAGTCAGTGGGAGGCCGGGCACGGTGGCTCATGCCTGTAACCCCAGCACTTTGGGAGGCTGAGGTGGGTGGATCACAAGGTCAGGAGATCGAGACCATCCTGGCTGACACAGTGAAACCTGGTCTCTACTAAAAACACAAAAAATTATCTGGGTGTGGTGGCAGGCGCCTGTAGTCCCAGCTACTCGGTAGGCTGATGCAGGAGAATGGCGTGAACCCGAAAGGCGGAGTTTGCAGTGAGCCAAGATCATGCCACTGCACTCCAGCCTGGGCAACAGAGCAAGGCTCTGTCTCAAAAAAAAAAGAAAAAAAAAAAAAAAGTCAGTGGGCAAAACATTCTACCTGATGATGTTACTCGGTCTGCACACTGAGAAGAGGATTCCAAGTGGGGATACAGAGATACCTAGAGGGTCACTCTGAGACAATCTGGGGTCAGAAGGGAAGTGTAGCCCTCTCCTTACAGATCATCACCTGAACAAAGACACTTGACCTTCTGCAGAGGGTCAGGGCTATCCCCTGGTTGGTCACCTTTGCACAGCTCACTGTGGGACTTGAGAGCTGGCTAAGATCTCAGGGAAAGGAGCATAGCTCCAGGCCCCAGGCCCCAACCCTGTTCTCAGGAGGTTATCTCAGATACTCTGTTTGTCCACAGAACAAAGTCTAGTAGTAGCACAGCCCCAAATCAAAGCCAGCAAGACCACAGTCACAGAAGATAAGGATTATGTGAACCTGACCTGCTCCACAAATGACACTGGAATCTCCATCAGTTGGTTCTTCAAGGACCAGAGTCTCCCGTCCTCAGAGAGGATGAAGCTTTCCCAGGACAATGCCACCCTCAGCATAAACCCTGTCAAGAGAGAGGATGCTGGGAATTATTCGTGTGAGGTCTTCAACCTAATCAGTAAGAACCGAAGCGACCCCATCGTGCTCATCGTAAACTGTAAGTGACTCCTCACCCCTTCCTATATGTCCCTGGAGGATTACTCTGCCAATGGTGTGCAAAATGGATAAAACTCACATAAGGCAGAATCTCAATGAAGAGACCATTATAGCAAACAGAATTGCAAAGTGGTTAAGAGCTTAGGCTCTGAATCAAATATACTTAGTTTTTTTGTTTTTTGTTTTTTGTTTTTCGTTTTTTTGGTTGGTTGGATTTTTTTGTTTATTTTGTTGTTTTGAGACGGGGTCTTGATGTGTCACCCAGGCTGGAGTGCTGTGGTGTGATCAAAGCTCACTCCAGCCTCAATCCCCTGGGCTCAAGCAATCCTGCCACTTCAGCCTCCAGAGTAGCTGGGACTACAGGTGTGCACCACTATGCCTGGCTAATTTTTTAAATTTTTTTGTAGAGATGGGGTTTCACTGTGTTGCCCAGGCTGGTCTCAATCTCCTAGTCTCAGCCTCTGCCTCCCAAAGTGCTGGGATTACTGGAATGAGCCACTGTGCCCACCCTGTATTTAACTATTCTAAGTACCTCTCATACAGATGGAAGCATGCAATATTTGTCCTTTTGTGTCTGGCTTACTTCATTTAGCATAATGTCTTCAAGGTCCATCTATGTTGTAGAATGTATCAGAATTTCATTCTTTTTGGAGACCGAATACTATTACGCTGTGTAGATAGATATATCACATTTTGCTTATCCATTCATCCATCTATGGACAGTTAGGTTGCTTCTACCTTTTGGCTATTATGAATAATGCTATTACACACATGGGTATACAAACATCTGTTCAAATCCCTGCTTTCAGTTCTTTTGAACAGATACGCAGAAGTGGAACTGCTGGATCAAATGGTAATTCTGGTTAATTTTGAAGAACCATCATACCATTTTCCACAGTGGCTATACCATTTCACATTCCCACCAGTAATGCACTAGAGTTCCAATTTCTCTACATCCTCAAAAATATTTGTTGTTTTTTGGTTTTGTTTTGTTTTGTTTTGTTTTTTATAAGGGCCATCCTAATGGTTGTAAGGTGGTATATCATTGGAGTTTTGATTTGCACTTCCCTAATGATTAGCAATATTTAGCATCTTTTCATGTGCTTATTGGCCATTTATCTTCTTTGGAGAAATGTTTATTCAAGTTCTTTGCCCATGTTTTAATTAGGTGGTTTGGGGATTTTTTGTTGAGTTGCAGTAGTTCTTTATATATTTTGGATATTAATCTCTTATCAGATACGTGATTCTCAAATATTTTCTCCCATTCTATAAGAGGTCTTTTCACTTTTGTGATAATGTGCTTTGATGCACAAAAGCTTTTAATTTTCATGAAGTTCAATTTCTCTATTTCTTCTTTCGTTGCCTATGCTTTTGGTGTCATAGCCAAGAAATCATTGCCAAATTCAAAGTTCCAAAGTTTTCACTCTGTCTTCCAAGAGCTTTATAGTTTTAGCTCTTACATTTGGGTCTTTTATGCATTTTGAATTAATTTTTACATATGGTGTTACATAAAGGTTCAATTTCATTCTTTTGCAGGGATATCCAGTTTCTTCAATGCCATTTGTTGAAAAGACTATCCTTTCCCCATTGAATGAACTTGGCACCCTTGTCAAAAACCATTTGGCTATGTATGCAAACATTTCTTTCTGGGCTCTATATTTTATTCCACTGGTTTCTATTTCTTTTTGCCAGTACCATACTGTTTTGATTACTGTAGCTTTTGGGTTTTGTTTGTTTGTTGTGTTGTTGTTGTGTGGGGTTTTTTCATTTAGTTTTGTTGCTTTTCTTTGTAGAGGTGGGGTTTCACCATGTTGCCAAGGCTGGTCTCAAACTCCTGAGCTCAAGCAATACACCCACCTCCACCTCCCAAAGTGCTAAGATTATGGGCATGATGATTACCGTAACTTTGTAAAAAATTTTGAAACCAGGAAGTATGAGCCCTTCAACTTTGTTCTTTTTCAAGATTGCTTTGACTATTCATGGTCCCTTCAGAGTCTATATAAATTTTAGAATGAATTTTTCTATTTCTGCAAAAAATATTACTGGAATTTTGATAGAGATTGCACTGAATCTGTAGATCACTTTGGGCAGTACTGTCATCTTAACAATATTAAGTCTTCTAATCCATGAAAATGGGATGTCTTTTCCATTTATGTCTTATTTAATTTCTTTTGGCAATGTTTTGTATTTTCAGGGTACAAATCTTTCACCTCTTTGGTTAAGTTTATTTCTAAGTATTTTTAAAGCTCTTATAAACATAATTTTTTTCATAATTTTCCTTTGAATTGTTCATTGTTAGTATACAAAAATACAACTGATTTTTGTTTGTTGATTTTGTATACTGCCACTTGGCTGAATTTATTATTCTAATAGTTTTTTTGTGGGATCTCTAGGGTTTTCTATATATAAGTTAGTGTATTCTGCAAACAGGTATAATTGTACTTCTTTCCAATCTAGATGCTTTTTTTTTCTTGGCTAATTGTTCTGTCTAGGTCTTCCAATACTACATTGAATAGAAGTGGCAAAAGCAGGCATCCTTGTCTTATTCTTGATCTTAAAGGAAAAGTTTTCAATCTTTCACCACTGACTATGATGGTAGCTGGGGGTTTTCACGTGTAGCATTTATTATGTTGAGAATTTCCTTCTATTCCTAGTTCAGTGTTTTTTAGCATGAAAGAATGTTGAATTTTGTCAAATGCTTTTATCGACTCATTTTCATTACTGCTTATAGGTCTATTCGGATTTTCTATTTATTCATGGTTCTATCATGGCAGGTTTTGTGTTTCTAGGAATTTGTTCATTTCATCCAGGTAATCCAATCTGTTGGCATTCAATTACTCATAGTACTCTTATAATCCTTATTATTTCTGCAGAATTAGTAGTAATGTTTCACTTTCATTTCTGACTTTAGTAATATGAATCTTCTTTCTTTCTTAGTCAATCTAGTTACAAGTTGTCAATTATAATGGTCATTTTTGAAGAACAACTTTTTTTTTTTTTTTTTTTTTTTGGTTTGAGACAGGTTTTCACTGTCACCGAGGCTGATCATGGCTCACCGCAGCCTTAACTTCCCAGGTTCAAGCAATCCTCCTGCCTCAGCCTCCTGGGTAGCTGAAACTACAGACACGCACCACCACCCCCAGCTAATTTTTGTAATTTTTTGTAGAGACAGGGTTTCACCATCTTGCCCAGCTGGTCTCAAATTCCTGAGCTCAAGTGATACACCTGCCTCAGCCTCCCAAATTGCTGGGATTACAGTCGTGCACCACTGTACCTGGCCTACAGTTATGAATTTCTTTCTTGCACAAGATTTTTAACTACTCTGAGCCTCGGATTCCTCAACCGAAAATTGCACTGAGAATGCCTGCTCCATAGTATTGCAAGGCTTTTGGGTTTTTGTTTTGTTTTTGAGACAGGGTCTCACTCTGTCACCCAGACTGGAATGCAGTGGTGCAAACACAGCTCACTGCAGCTTCAACCTCCTGGGCTCAAGCAATTCCCCCACCTTAGCCTCCTAAGTAGTACATGCTATCACACCTGGCTAATTTATTTTTATTTTTGTTTTCAAAGAGACAGAATCTCACCATGTTACCCAGGCTGGACTCAAATTCCTGGGCTCAAGTGTTATTTTAAAGATTTAATGTAATAATAAACCTTCAGCAAAACACCACGCACAGAGGAAATGTTTCATAAATGTTAGCTGCTATTACTACTGCTATTATCATTAGCCTTGAAATCAGGTAGTCCTAGAGTCAAATCTCAGATCCACCTCTCACTAGCCATCTGACTTTAGGTAAGCTTTTCACCACTCTAAGCTTCCATTTTTTCATATTTAAAATGGAAATGATGTCTACCTGACAGCACCATTTTATGGATCAAATGAGATACACGTAAAGCATTTAGCAGCACAGGGCCTGGCACACAGGAAGTGCCCCACAAAAGTAGCTAACATAGCATTAATCACCAGCCTGGGCCGGGCGCGGTGGCTCAAGCCTGTAATCCCAGCACTTTGGGAGGCCGAGACGGGCGGATCACCAGGTCAGGAGATCGAGACCATCCTGGTTAATACGGTAAAACCCCGTCTCTACTAAAAAATACAAAAAAACTAGGCGGGCGAGTGGCGGGCGCCTGTAGTCCCAGCTACTCAGGAGGCTGAGGCAAGAGAATGGCGTGAACCCGGGAGGCGGAGCTTGCAGTGAGCTGAGATCTGGCCACTGCACTCCAGCCTGGGCGACAGAGTGAGACTCCGTCTCAAAAAAAAAAAAAAAAAAAATCACCAGCCTGAGTTGACTGGTGAGGGTTAAGCCCCAAATAGTTGCAACAGATATAAAGGAGAAATAGGCTGGACACAGTGGCTCACATCTGTAATCCCAACACTTGGAAGACCAAGGCTGGAGGATCTCTTGAGCCCAAGAGTCTAAGACCAGCCTGGGCAATATAGTGGAATCCTATCTCTACAAAAATTATTTTTCTAAATTAGCCAGGTGGGTGGGCGTGGTGGCTCACGCCTGTAATCCCAACACTTTGGGAAGGCGAGGCAGGCGGGTCACCTGAGGTTGGGAGTTCAAGACCAGCCTAACCTACATGGAGAACTCCCATCTCTACTAAAAATACAAAATTAGCTGGGCGTGGTGGCACGTGCCTGTAATCCCAGCTACTCAGGAGGCTGAGGCAGAAGAATCGCTTGAATCTGGGAGGCAGAGGTTGCAGTGAGCTGAGATCACGCCATTGCACTCTAGCCTGGGCAACAAGAGTGAAACTTGGTCTCAAAAAAGAAAAGAAAGAAAGAAAAAGAATTAGCCAGGTGTGGTGGCATGTGCTTGTTGTCCCAGCTATTGAGGAGACTGAGGTGGGAGGATCACTTGATCCCAAAAGGCTACAATGAGCCATGATTGTGCCACTGCACTC